GGGCGAGTGGGGAGTCTAATTTGGCCTCCGGGAGGCCTGTGGAGTCCTAAGAAGAGGCAGCATCTGTTGTGCCCAGCCTTGAAAGCGAGTTAGGAGCTGCGCAGTGATGACAGGCAGAGGCAGGGTCAGAGGATGGAGGCAGAGCTAGGACTGTTTCTCCTGTGCGTGGTGGAAGGTTGTGAGCAGGGCAGGAATTCCACCGGTTTGGGTACAGACAGGTGTGCCGCTGCCTGGAGGGGAAGGGATGGTGGTGGCGGTGACTGACAGCCTGGAGCCCTGGGGGGTGGGTGCTGGATTCAAGGTGGCTCAGAGGGCACGCCTGCCCCTGGCTCTAAGCTTCCTGAGAGCAGCTCGTCATGCCATGGAGGCCTCATGGGATGGTCATTGTTGTGGTCCCACCTTTGCCCACTTGGGTGTGGCTCAAGGAGCAACAGTGTAGAGAGACTGAGAGCATTTGGGGCAGGAGGTCTCTGACACTCAGGGCTTTGGGGTGGGGAAGGACAGGAATTGGAGGGAGGCCTCGGACCCCTCCGCACCCAGGTGGGCGTCCCCCGGTGAAGGGCACAGACTGCCAAGGGAGGATGTGAGGCCGACTGAAGAGAAAGCGTCGTCCAGGGCAGGATCCTATTTTCTCCAGATGAGGAAAGCAAAGTGGAGGGAAACTGAGGTTCTCGGCTGGGCAGGATGAGGAGGAAGGGGCCGGGAACAGGCTCCCAGCATTGAAGCCTCCTCCACTCGGGGATCAGGACAGGCCCAGAGCTGCTGCCTGGGGGAAAGGGGTTCTGTGAAGGCACGGGGGCGGGGGGCTTCTCAGAAGAGGTGACCCAGGGCCTGGAAGAGGAGTGGCTGGGAGGGCTGGGGCAAATATCCCAGGCAGGGGACTCCTCAGGACAAAGGAGAGGAGACAGTGGCTGTGCCTGAGGAGGAGTCTGCTACCCCAGTAGGAGGGGAAGATTGAAGGCCACAAATTGGAAACTGCTTAAGGTCCTAGAATGCCATAGAAGCCGTTTGAACCTTGTCCCATGGGCAGTGGCCAACTCCTGAAGGTTTCTGAGCAAGGGGGTAACAGGACAGCTGGACATGTCATAAATGTCACCTGGGACGTGCATGGTGGCCGGGAGGCCCGCGAGGGGGTGAGGATGGGCCTGGGCTCGCTGGTGTGCCCCCAGTCCTGCCCCGACCCTGGAGGGGTGGCTGGAAGGTGGACCTGCCTGCTGGGCCTGCCTGGAGGGGCAGAAGCTGTGCCGCGGAGCCCGCAGCCTCCCGCAACTCCAAGTCAGCTGAGTTTCTGTGGCCAGGGCGGCCCAGGGTTTCGGGTGGGGTGCAGGCTGGAAGCCTTCCTACCGGCTGACCACCCAGCCTTGCAGGCGCTTCGCGCTTCTACGCATCGTGAACGTGGAGAAGCGCCGGGACTCGGCGCGAGGGAGTCGCTTCCTGCTGGAGCTGGAGCTGCAGGAGCGCGGGGGAGGCCGCCTGCGACTCTCCGAGTACGTCTTCCTGCGGCTGCCAGGAGCCCACGTGGGGGATGCAGACAGAGGAAGTCCCGAGCCCGCTCCCCCGGCCTCTGTGCGCCCCGATGGCCGCCCCGAGCTCTGCCGGCCACTGCGCCTGGCCTGGCGCCAGGACGTGATGGTTCACTTCATCGTGCCAGGTGCGCAGGGCGGGCTCGGGGTCTCCGGGAGACCGCGTGGGAGGAATGTGGACCCTAATGACTAGGAAAGGGTGTGGGTGTCCGGGATGAGGTTCTTCGGAGCTGGGAGGCCCCAGTATACAGTCAGGGTCGGCTCAGCGCCCCGCCCCCCATTTCTCCTCCAGTGAAAAACCAGGCGCGGTGGGTGGCGCAGTTCCTGGCGGACATGGCTGCGCTGCACGCGCGCACCGGGGACTCGCGTTTCAGCGTCGTCCTGGTGGATTTCGAGAGCGAGGATATGGACGTGGAGCGGGCCCTGCGCACTGCGCGCCTGCCCCGGTAACGGCCCCTACTTCCACCTGGGCGGACCCAGCGCACCTTTCCTCCCCGGGAGGTGGGTTTTCCTGACCTCACCCCCAGAGATCGTGCCTGTGACTCCTCCTCCCCAGGTACCAGTACCTGAGACGAACTGGGAACTTCGAGCGCTCCGCCGGGCTGCAGGCGGGAGTGGACGCGGTGGAGGTCCGAGGGCCAGATGGGGGTCGGGGAGCAAAACGGGGCGTATCCGGGGAGGAGCGGAGGGCGGGGCTCAGACCTCCCGCACCCCCCAGGACGCCAGCAGCATCGTGTTCCTCTGCGACCTGCACATCCACTTCCCACCCAACATCCTGGACGGCATCCGCAAGCACTGCGTGGAGGGCAGGCTGGCCTTCGCGCCGGTGGTCATGCGTCTGAGCTGCGGGAGCTCGCCCCGGGACCCCCACGGTGAGGCCCCAAGCGCCCCACCCTGTGATGGCAAGGTTCCCACCAACCGCCACGGTAACGTCCAGGAACCCGGGGCCTCTCAGTCCCCAGGGGAGGCCTGGGAGTCCATCAGTGCTCCCCGTAGAGCCCAGAGCCCCAGTCCCCCGGCACCAGCACACCCAGGGCCATGCGGGGGTCCCCGGGGACCTCCTGCAGTATCCTGCGTTTATGCACCGCGCTCCAGGGTCATTACTGGGCACCGCGGGAAGCCCCCATGGTGATGGGACCCTGCCCCTGAGGCCCTCCCGAGGTCTCCTGGCGGCCCTTTGCGGGGAGGCCTTGCAGGACCTGGTCTGAAGGGCAGCACTCCTCACCCTCCCGCCCCAGGTTACTGGGAGGTGAACGGCTTTGGCCTTTTTGGGATCTACAAGTCGGACTTTGACCGGGTCGGAGGCATGAATACGGAAGAGTTCCGAGACCAGTGGGGGGGTGAAGACTGGGAGCTCCTGGACAGGTGACCGCCTCCCACTCCCCTGACCCCTGCGTCCTCCTCGGAATGAGGAAAATGGTGCCCACATGCTGAGAGAACTCTACCCTTCCCCATCTTCCCAGTATCCTGCAGTCTCAGAGAGACCCCCTCCACCCGAATCACTCCTGAGACCCTGTCCCACCCCCAGGGTCCTGCAAGCTCAGGGACATCCCTGAACCAGCTCTGCCCCCGATCCTGTAGGCCTTGGGTGCCCCTGAGTCCCCAACCTCCCACTAGGGCCCTGGAGGCTGGAGGCAGCCCTGACAGCCCCAGTCCCTGGACCAGGGTCCTGATCACCTCTCTCTGCCCCCGGCCCCGGGGTCCCGACCACCTCTCCTCTCTCTGCCCCCGGCCCCGGGGTCCCGACCACCTCTCCTCTCTCTGCCCCCGGCCCTGGGTCCTGATCACCTCTCTCTGCCCCCGGCCCCAGGGTCCTGACGCCTCTCTCTGTCCCCGGCCCTGGGGTCCCGACCTCCTCTCTGCCCCTGGCCCCGGGGTCCCGACCACTTCTCTCTCTGCCCCGGGGTCCCGACCACCTCTCTCTCTGCCCCCGGCCCCGGGTCCTGATCACCTCTCTGCCCCTGGCCCCGGGGTCCTGACGCCTCTCTCTGTCCCCAGCCCCGGGGTCCCGACCTCCTCTCTGCCCCTGGCCCCGGGGTCCCGACCACTTCTCTCTCTGCCCCCTGTCCCGGGTCCTGATCACCTCTCTCTGCCCCTGGCCCCTGGGTCCTGACCACCTCTCTCTCTTCCCCCTGCCCTGAGTCCTGATCACCTCTCCTCTCTCTGCCCCCAGGGTCCTGCAGGCAGGGCTGGAGGTGGAGCGACTCCGGCTGCGGAACTTCTACCACCACTACCACTCCAAGAGGGGCATGTGGAGCGTCCGCAGCAGGAAGGGCTCTCACACGGGGGTGTCCTGAGGACGGGCAGCCCCTCCCAGCCCCGGTGGGAGTCCGGAGGCAGCTGCTGGGGGCTGGGCTTTGAGCTTGGTCCCGAGGGACCCGGCAGGGCTGGTCAGAGGGGCACAGCCACCACCTGTGCCTGTTCCTCTCTGGCCCACTGGGCCCCGGCGTCGTGCCCCTCCCTGGAGAGGCAGCCTTCACAGCGGGTCAGGGCCTGGCCTTGGTCCCCACTCTGCGATGATTTCTGTGAAATTTTGCTGTAGCGACGACATTGTTTTCAGGATTTCCAAGAGTTCTGTCTGTTCTGTTTTTTATTCAGAATGAAATGAAATATTTTTTTTAGTTCTGACTTGTCCTCTATGCCTGTTCTCTTGAGAGGTGGAGTCCTCACTGCTGGGGGACCCTGAGCATGACCTCCTGACTTCCAGCGGCAGCCCTTCCAGACCCCAGCTTCTCCCACCCCCAAGACCACTTTCCCCTTCCTGCCTGTGAGGTTCGGTGCCCGGCCCTGTGGGGAGGGGGCTTCCGACTTCTTCCTCCCGCCCTGTGTCTGTGGGGTCTGTGCCCGCTGATAACAGACATAGACAGCACCGGGCCCTCCCACACTGGGGCGAGGAATGAGCAGTCACCGCCACAGTGCCCCATTCTGCAAACAGAATCGGGTGTCAGTCCCACCCCAGCCTCCTCTAGGGTGGAGGAGCTGTCTGCACCCAGGTGGGGCATGTCTTGTGCTGGGGCTGGGGGTGATCAGGCAAAACTTGGGGTTGCCAGAAACAGAAACCCAACTCGAGCCAGTGAAGCCATAATCAGGGGGCCTGTATGACTTTGGTACCTTCAAGGTCAGGGTCAGCAGGGCACCAGAGAAGGACTGACTCAGAGGCTGGTCGAAGCCCACTCCTGCCTTGTCTCCTCTCTGCCCGTGGGTCCAGCTCGGTCCTGGCCTGGGCTGGGTCACAGGAGGGAGGCTGTACTCTGCCAGGCCCCGAGTGGCCGTGTAAGTTCCTTATGGCTGCTGTAGCGAATTGGCACAAGTGTAGTGGCTTAAAAAAATTTATTATCTTACAGTTCTGGAGATAAAAAGTCCTAAAATTAAGGCTGGCACAGTGACTTACGCCCGTAATCCCAGCACTTTGGGAGGCTGAAGCGGCTGGATCCCCAGACACAGTGGTGTGTACCTGTAGTCCCAGGTACTTGGAAGGTTGAGGCAGGAGGATCACCTGAGCCCGGGAGGTCTGGGCTGCAATGAGCTGTGATTGCACCACTGCACTCCAGCGTGGGCAACAGAGCAAGGCTCTGTCTCGGAAAAAAAAAAAAAAGGCCAAAATTAAGGTGTCAGCAGGGCTGGTTCCCTCTGGAGACTTAGGTGTGAGTCTGTGTCCCTGCCTTCTCCAGCTTCTCCAGGCCACCTGGATTTCAGCAGCTTGGCCTCTTCCTCTCTCGCACTTCCTCTCTCTCCCTCTCTCTCACCTCCTCCTGTGACTCTGACCCTGCTGCCTTCTCTTGTAAGGCTCCCTGTAATTACACTGGGCCCTCCCAGCAAAACCACAGTAACCATCATGTCCCTCACTGGGTCACATCTGCAAAGCCCTTTGCCGTGAAGGTAACAGTCACAGGTTCTGGGACTAGAACAGGCACGTCTTGAGCGGGCACTCTTCTTTCTACCTCTTCATTCACACTGGGTGGAATGGCTCATACGCCCAGCAGCCAGAATTGTCCTCTGAAGATGTGTCCTGAGATCACCGCTCACCATGCACACAGGGCAGCTGGGAGGTGGAGCCGAAGGAGGAACCATGTGGACCAGCCATTGACCAGAGTGGCATCCAGTCACCTGGTGTGGGTTTCACAGGTCCCGCTGGTCCATTGGGGAGAAGTGCCCGCAGGGCAGAGGACATGGCTGGTCACACACGCCCGGAAGCCATGTGATGACCAGCTGTCCTGCCCACTGATCCCTGTGTATCTAGTTCAGATGGAATTGTCCCCACTCACAAATGTTTCACAGCAAGAGAAGAACTAGCCTTGGATTTAATGATCCATGCTACCCCAAGAAAATGAGAGAAGGAGAGAAGAAGCGTAAACCACAGGCGGGGGAAGCCCACACATCAGACAGAGAATTAACCTCGGAAAACAAGTCAAAATTCCATGTAATCTGGACGATTCACACCATCGTTTAATCCATTTGGCAATGGTTCATTGCACACTCACTGCACGTCACGCACTGAGGAAAAGGCAGGGGATGGAACAGACAAAAACCGCTGCCCCCAAGGATCTTACATTCTAACACGGGGGGGTGGGGCACGACGATGCCATCAATAAAACACCTGGTATACCGGCTGGCAGCAAGGGCAGCGGAGGGAAAGGAAGCCCGGGAAGGCAACAGCCCATGTGAGTGTGACTGCGTTTCTGAGCAGGGTACTCAGAAAGACCAGGTCTGAGAAGGTGAAGGTGACCGAGGACACAGGCGGGGGAGGGCAGGGTTCAGCGGCAGCCTTTGAAGAAATTTCTTAAAAATCAATGATAAGGCCGGGCATAGTGGCTCAAACCTGTAATCTCAGCACTTTGAAAGGCTGAGGCAGGAATGATGGCAGCAGTGGCCCATCTAGAATGGCCGATGCCAAGATGCTGGCCGCAGCGGGGAGGCATGGCTGGGCCTCCCACTCCGTGGGGCAGGCAGGAACCCGGCCCTCCCAGGCACTGGGTTCATTTGCATGCACCTCAACATTCCTGTGCTCTTTGGGGCCCAAGAAGCCCCCCCCCACTCCCTGTGGGCTCGGAAGTACCTGCTCCTGCCCTCACTGCGGAGTCTGGCGCTCCCTGTAGCTGGAGCCAGGGCCCACAATCCGCTCCCAGAGGCTTCCCCCGGCATGGTTGTGAGTCGGGCGAGGGGGGTGCCCCAGGCTGCCCCTGAGTGTTGGAACTGCAGGGGGAACTCACAGTGACATCGCCTCCCTGTGCCCCGGATGCCGGCCCGGGTACTGTGAGGGCCTAAAGCCTTCACCCCAGGCTGCAAGGAGATGGACAGGGCAGCAGGATGGCTGCAGGAGCAGCAGTGGCAGCAGTAGGTCCCCTGTGCCCCACGTCCCCAAGGCTGCCTACTGTGCGACCTCCACCCTCGCACGGCTGGGCAAGACCCACTCCCAGGCCTGGAGCCCCCACAGCCGCCTCAACCTCGCTTCCTGCCGTGTACCGGGAGCCCATGAGCACCCAGCTGAAGGCACAGCCAGGATTCATGGAACCAGCCCTGGAAGCATTGGGTTTATTTGTGCAGGGTGGGAGCACTGCAGGTGCAACCACAGCCGTCCAGGTTGCAGCTGTGGGCCCAGGCCTCCTGCTGGTCTTGGGGACCAGGGAGGACCCCCTAACACCACAGACTTGGGGGTGTCCCTGCTCCTGGCACCCACCCTGATCTTGGAGTGGGGTTGGGACCAAGCCCAGGTGCTGTTGCAGCCCAGCCAGGTGTGCACCCTCAGAGCAGTGCTGACACACCAGTCCCCTGCCATCTCAGCCCCTCCAGACTTTGGGCACCAACGAGTGTGGGAGGGAGGCCAAGATGGGGCTGGGGGCAGCTCAGTGCTGGCCTGTGGGCATCCCTTGGCACGAGCAGCCTGGGCACCATGGACAGCAGTGGGAGGCAGACAGGCTCCTGGGAGGCAAGAGGCAAGTCCCTGGTGAGGCTCCACCTTCAAGCCAGGGTGGGCCTGAAGGCTGGGGGCCACGCTGACACTCCCGAGGACCAGAGTGGGGACTTGTGGTGCCTTTTCCGGGCCCACCCATGGCTGCCCATGAACCAGTAGGCACTAATTTCCTCCCCTCTGAGGCCCATAAAAGCCCCGGGTTCAGCCAGAGTGGAGAGGAGGACGGAGGGGACAGGATGGCCAGCTGCAGAGAGGAGCTGCCCTCTCTAGGGCTTCCTCTCTGCTGAGAGCTGCAGGCATTGAGTTGACCAACTGCAGAGAGGAGCTGCCCTCTCTGCTGAGGGCTGAACACTCGTTGGGATGACCAGCTACAGAGAGGAGCCACTTACTCCCAGCCTCCTCTCTGCTGAGAGCCTCTGAGCTGTTCTAACACTCAATAAAGCTCCTTTTTGTCTTGCTCACCCTCCACTTGTCTATGTACCTCATTCTTCCTGGACACAGGACAAGAACTTGGGCAAAGGTGCTCCCAGCCACAGAGGTTTCTGGTCAGAATAGCAACACCCCAAATATCCCATAACATTTTTGGGGGCTCGTCTGGGATCTGTGGAAGGGTGAGCAAAAGTGGATCTTCTCTTTCTGTCCTTTCTTTGTGGTTCCTAAACTCCTCAACAGCTGAAATGAAAGAAGAATACCAGGCCGCTATCAATCAGCTAAACGTGACGACTAGTCTCCAAGTGCCAGACTCAACACATGGGGGCCAGGCTTGCTGGGGAGGACACTGTCAAGCGCCCATCACCCTCAGGTGTTGGGAATGTTGGCTTTGTTCCAACCCAGTTTTCCTTCATGGAAGTCTAGCTGTCACGTGGGACCAGAAGGAGGTCCTAGGGCAACTGGGGGTATCTGGCTGAGGTTACCCCTTGGTGTTATCCAAAGGCCCCTGGACTGACTCCAGTCCCAGGCCTCCCATGAGGGTGTTGGCACGAGGACCTCCACTCTTTCCTATCGTTCTTTTCTTTCTTTCTTTTGTGACTGTCATGGTTCCTATCTCTTCTTTATGTGTGATGTTAAATGTTAAGGATGTTGTTGCAAACCAGAAATATTACTGGGTAGAATGAGCATTTGGCTGAGTCATCAAAACTGTAAAATGGAAGGTTAAGAATAGCACAGATGAAGCTAAGTGTGCCTTGGTATCTGTATATAAATTTGTGGCAAAAATGTTCTTGTTATTTCCTTGGTCGTCAACTTGGTGCCAAACACCTTGAGACCCAGAAGAGAAGCATGGTCTCGGGAGGAAGCTTTTCTGTAAACGTGAGGGCCAGTGGTCTGAGGCCTCGTGTGTGCAGGCTTTCTTTGCTTTGCAGGGTAACTTGGACCTTTACCTCTGTTGTAGGATTGATCCAGCCCTCGTAGTGGCTGTCTCAGGAGAGGCTGCAAGAGGCAATCCCAGGGAAATAGAGAAGCAAACCCCAGAGGCACCTCCAGTGGAGGAATCAAACCCTTCGCTCCTCCCTATCCAGGTTCTCTCTCAATCTTTCCCCAGCCTAGAAATCCTCATTTTAGGCAGTTCCCAGTCAAATTAAGGGAGATCTTGGCAAGTTTTTAGATGGCCCTGACAGATAAATAGAGGCTTTCCAGAACCTAACCCAAGTATTTGAGCTCTCCTGGAAGGATGTCATGTTGCTTCTGAATCAAACCCTGACCACTTCTGAAAAGCAGGCCACCCCGCAACTGGCAGAGAATTTGGGGGATGAGCTGTATATCTTATCTAGGGCCAAGGAAGAGGAAACGCTTTATCCAATTGGAAAAATAGCAGTACCATTGGAGGACCCTAAATGGACCCCAGTGATAAAATGGGAAAATGGAGGATGAAACACTTTCAGATGTGATACTGGAGGGCTTGTCAGGGACTGGGGCTGGGCCTCTCGATTGCACCAGGCTGGAGGGCTCGCAAGGGAATGGAACTGGGCCTCTCGATTGCACCGGGCTGTCCGTGGTAGAGCAGGGATTGGCCCCACTGCCTTCCCGGGGGATGGCAGCAGCCTTGGTGAAGGGTGGCTCTCTGTCTCCTGATTCAGTCAATGAACAGCTGGTCCTAGGGGATAAGGGGATGAGTTTATGGCACAGGCAGCCCCTGATGTCAGGGGACATATAATAGGGAAGCAACAGCGGGAATGGGCTGTGGGACCAGATGGTACTTTGGGGGCATCCTGGGAGGGGCAACCTTGGTTTTTTGCAGTGGGGACCGGGAGGAAGTCCAGGAAAGAAAGGGAACGCAGAGGGTCTAATAGCCGCCCTGTGGGCTCATGGACCCCAGAATCCCTGGATACACCTGTGACTGCTGCAAAGGTGTTGGGCCCTGGCCCTTCAGGAGGGTTTCCAGACCGTGCAGGGAGGAGGGCCCTTCAGGAGGGTTTCCAGACCGTGCAGGGAGGAGGGCCCTTCAGGAGGGTTTCCAGACCGTGCAGGGAGGAGGGCCCTTCAGGAGGGTTTCCAGACAGTGCAGGGAGGCCACCTTGGCCCTGTCCAGTTTGCCTTGGGGACCACTGGAGGACAGACTGTCCCTGGAGACATGGGTTGCCAGACCTAGGGCCGGTCTCCCAAATGGTACAGCAGGACTGATGGGTTCCCAGGCTCCTCTCCCCAGCTCCAGTCGTCCAGACCACCACTGCCATTCAGGAGCCCCAGGGATTCTGGAGGAGGATGGACCACCTCCTGGACTCCAGAGCAGGCCTTTCAGTTCTCCTCTCCAATCTGGGCCCCACTCCCCATCTCTTGGCACAACTGTGAGTGGCATCTCAGGCCTCCTTCCTCCACCATGTCAGGAATCAATATAGTCTTGTGAATACGGGGAGCTTTTCTATGGAGGGTTTAATGTTTTTTCCTTTCAAAAGGCACCTTCTTAGGCCAGGCCCCCAGTTCCTGGGACTTCCTTCCTCCCCCTTGCTTGAGGAGGACGTGGCCCCACAGCTCCACCTGTTTATAACAGAAAAGCAGCAGAGGAGCTGCCACCACCTGTTAGTAGCTGCAATTTGGTGAGGGACACTTGGGACTAATTTAATGGGTCCCTACACCCTCCTGAGGCCAGACTCCAGGAGAGCCCCCGGGAGATGCCCCACCCGTCTCGGACATATGTGCCCTTCCCAGAGCAGCGCCGGGGGCAAAGGAAGAGCCCGGGACTCATCTGATGAACGAGTGGATGGACGGATGGACAGATGGACAGACTGACCAACAGGGCGGCAGCGGATGGGGTGTGTGCAGACGAAAGGTGTCCCCCCAAGAGCCTACTGGGGCCGTACCCCTCAGCTGCCTTCCATGACAAGGACCAAGGCCAGAGACCTCAGAGCTGCCCACCCACAGGCCCGGGGCAGGGGCAGGGGCCACACTCCGTAGGGTGAGGGGTGGTGCCCATAGGCAGCAGGGTAGGCTCCGTGGAGGGGCTGGGCCCTGGGCTGGACTTGGCTGGAGCCCAGGTCGGAAGGTTTGCAAAGCGTGGGCGCCAACAGGAAGCGCCAGGACGCTTGCCTCTGGGTGAACTGTGCCCCCACACTGGGTCCATCAACCACCAAGGGGCCCCCCAATGCACTCCCCACCCGGCCGCTGCAGGCGGTGGGACCTGAGGCAGCCTCCCAAGCCTCTCTGTGCACCAGCACACTCCTGAATTCGGTTTTGACTATTATTTTGCTTCTAACGTCCTCACAACTTTCTCCCCAGATCCTCCCCCTTCTGCTCCTTAAGACTCCCACCCCATCCCCCTCCACCCAGGCAGGCTCTGCCCTGTAGACTTGAGTATGTGCCCTCCCACAACTCCAGGCATGCACCTGGCAGCTCCACCCCCGACCTGGGCCCAGCCCACCTTCTCTGTGAGTGCCTCCCATGCCCCCCACGCTGAGCCCACCGCACCCCGAAGCCCTCCTGCGCCCTCTCCCACCTCCTCTTGGGAGGTGATTGACAGGCCACCTGCCACCTGGGATCCAAGAGCAGTGCTCACTCACCCTTCGAGGCCCTCACGTTCCGGGTTCTCAACCTGATTGTGCACCCAGAGCGACCTGAGGCTACATGCAGATTCCAGGCCCCACAGACAACCGCCTCCTCCAGGAAGCCCACCGCCTCCTCCAGGAAGCCCACCACCAAGCCCTCGTCCAGGGCTCCTGTGCCAGGAACTGGCTCCAGGGAGAGCGAGACACTCGGGGCTGGTCACAGGGCTCAGATAAGACTCCTCTGAGCCTGGGGCTGGAAGCTGCAGCGGTGGTCTAGCAGGCATCGCCATCCCTCTGGCCTGACTGCGGTGAGGGAAGGTGCACCCCAGATTCCTGGCTTTGCCAAAACTGTGCCTGGCAGGGACCACACATCCTCAGGGAGGCGCCGCAGCTCTGGGGGTACACCTGCAGCCCTCTCTGCCAAGGGGAGGAGGGAAGGTCGGCAGAGGCCCTCCAGGCTGGCTTCCCCTGCCACGCGGCCCCGCCTGGCCTCTGCAGGGCCCCAGGTGGGCCTGGGGTGGACCTGGATGCAGGGCGGGGCCCAGTCCATGCCAGGCACATACCTCCAGGCCCGCTCTGTGCCGCACAAACTTGTCTCCCAGGATTTTTCCACACGAAACCCGTCTCCCAGGGAATCAGCCAGTCTGATGAGCTGGGCGTTCCCACCCCGCCCTCCGGGGCCCCCACAGTCCTGTCCCACCGCAGAGGCTGCCCCGCACGCGCCAGGCCAGGGATGGAGCCCAGGACACCTCAGCTGTCAGCAGTGGCCTCTGGGATGAGCTGGGAGGCTGGCGGGATCCGGACCACGGGCAGGGTAAGTCTCCCACCCCTGCCCCACCACCCCGACCCCATCTGGTGGCCCAGCCCAGGCCTCGCCTGTCCTTTCAGTGGGCCCTCCCCTCCCCCTTTAGTCCCCAACGCTGATTTCCGACTCCCACCTCTAGCTTCCTCCCCCTCAGCACTGACCTCACCCTTAATGCTGCCTCCTGACCCTGGATCCACCCTCACTGCGGGGAAGGGTATGCCCGAGAGGAGAGCCCAGAGCCCGGGTCCAGGGTCCAGAAGAGGCAGAGGCTGTCAGATGAGCTCGTGAGAGAAGCCCAGGGGTTGTCAAGATGTTCAGCTCCCACCCCCAGCCCTCCTAGGCTTATCCCCACCCCCCCATCTACCAGGGGCCTGTCCCAGAGGCCAGAGGGCCTCAGAACCTGCCTGCTGGCTCCACTGGCTGTGGTGCTCGAAGGAGACCTTCTGGGCACAAGCCCTGCTTGGTCTGGGCCTCCCCCGCCACCCCACCCCCACCCTCACTCCCTCTCCATCCCGGCCACTGCTCTCCCAGACCCCTGGTTCTTCCCCGCACACCCCACCCTCAATCCCTCTCCATCCCAGCCTCTGCTCTCCCAGACCCCTGGTTCTTCCCCGCACACCCCACCCTCAATCCCTCTCCATCCCCGCCTCTGCTCTCCCAGACCCCTGGTTCTTCCCCGCACACCCCACCCTCAATCCCTCTCCATCCCAGCCTCTGCTCTCCCAGACCCCTGGTTCTTCCCCGCACACCCCACCCTCAATCCCTCTCCATCCCGGCCTCTGCTCTCCCAGACCCCCTGGTTCTTCAGCGCACACCGCTCCTGCCCCAGCCTGGCATGCGCTGACAGGAGTGCAGGCCCCTCTGAGTCAACCCCCTGGGGCAGCCCCGCCCCCCTGCACCCTGACTCATGTGCTGGGAACGGCCTCCCACCCCAGGGCCTGGGGGGCAGGAGCAGTGGTGCCAGGGTCCCAGAAGCCAGAGAGGGTCAAGTCAGCCCTTTGGAGGCCTCTGTAGGGGGTGAGGGGGTCCTGAGGGTGAGTTCCAGGGTCTGCAGGCCTCGGGGGAGGGCCGGTCCATCCACATGCTTCCTGTGGGAGGGGGCTCTCTGGGTTCCAACCACCAGGGCCTCCATGGAGTCCGGTTGGACCCTAAAGCTCCGTCCCTCCATCCTGTGTCCTGACCCTGGCACTGACCCCTGGCCCCCCACAGTGTCTCCTGCCAACCCCTTCCTAGGCCTCATCCCCGCCTCACCAGCAAGGCTGGGCTACCGTGGAGGCTGTCTGGTCCTTGGAGCTACCTAGGGCCCTAGACCCCCCAGGGGGTGGGACACCCTACCCTTCATGCTGGGGGTGGCAGGACATAGGCTCCCTCAGGACCTCTGCCCTTCCCTGACACTCAGGACACAGAGGGCCCCTCTGTCTCAGCCCCACGACAGAGGGCCCGGTCCGGCCTTTACAGGCTGAGAACAAGAAGGACCCAGGGTCCCCGTGGCCCTGCCGTGGGATGGGAGAAAACGAGGCAGGAGGCCAGGCTGGGACCTGGGGCCATGCAGGGCCTGTTCTTCCGCCCAAATTCCACCTTAAGCAGGCGGTGGCTCCTCCCTCCCACCTGGCCAGGTGTCCCCGCCCCCAGCTGCGCTCAGGGCTGGGCAGGCGTCTGTCTCCAGGCGGCTCTGGGTGAGGCTGGCGGGGCGGGGACTTCAGGGAGAAGGCCTGGAGGGACAGGACGTGAAGATAGTTGAGTTTGGAGGCGGCCGCCAGGCCCAGGCCCGGTGGACCTGCCGCCATGCAGGATGGTAACTTCCTGCTATCGGCCCTGCAGCCTGAGGCCGGTGTGTGCTCCCTGGCGCTGCCCTCTGACCTGCAGCTGGACCGCCGGGGTGCCGAGGGGCCGGAGGCCGAGCGGCTGCGGGCAGCCCGAGTCCAGGAGCAGGTCCGCGCCCGCCTCTTGCAGCTGGGACAGCAGCCACGGCACAACGGGGCCGCTGAGCCCGAGCCTGAGGCGGAGACTGCCAGAGGTAGGCCAAGGCACAAGGCAGGTGCCGGGCAGAGGGGACCTCAGCAGGGACGATGGTGGCGGAGAGAGGTGTCTGCGGGCGGAGGTGGTAGGGCGAGGGCACAGGCCGCAGTGAGGCTGGCTCCTGACTCACCAGGCCTCACACTGAGTCACGCACCCCGCCCCAGCGGGCGTGGGGAGAAGCCATGGGTGGGGCTCCCCATCCAAGCAAGGACCCCCGGGTCCTCCAGGGACACAGCCTGGCCAGGCCCCACCTGTGTCCTCAGCCTAGAGCCTCCCCCGTGGGGGATGACAGGGAAGGCTGGCACATGGCAGGCGGGCCAGGCCCCTCAATCGGCAAACCCGGAACACGCACGCGACTGCCCCAGAAGCACAGGCTCACGCACGGTCTCAGGGACACCCAGACACCCACGCTTCTCCCACACCTCATGGGAATGAGCAGAACAGGAAAGCGGGGAGAGGTGTGGGGGGGCTGGGAAGTCCTGGAGGAAAGCCAGGCCTGTCTGGACCAGGGGCTCCCTGAGGAATTAGAGGGGAGGGCCCCGCTGGAGTGACCCAGATTTCTCTGTGGGAACAGCAGGTGGAGGAGCACCCCTCGGTGCCAGCCAGACCCACCTGTGGCGGAATCCTGGCCCCACTCACGCGAGTGCGTGTGCATGCGTGTGAGTGTGAGTGACAGGAGCACACAGATGCTGTGGTTGAGGGCAGTGGTTCTAGAACGTCATTTCCTCCTTCGCCAGCTACAGCAACAGGGATTAAGGTCAGACAGTAAGAGGAACCTCCCAGAATGCCAGGGACCCAGATGCCAGTTCATCGTGGTGTTTAGAGGGGACCCCCAGGACTGGTCTCCAGCTACTGGCCGGGGGGAAGTGAAGGTCGCCCAGCGGAGGGGCCGGCCCGGCGGCCTGGACTGTGGGGTCCTCCCTCCAGGGGCCTCAGCCTTGCTGGTGACCAAGTCGGGTGCCCAGGGGTCATGGGGTGGAGGACGGTGAGGGAAGGGTTAATTACCACCCTGGCTACCCTGCCAATTAGAGGGGGGTGGATTATAATTGGGGGGTGGGGGTGAGGTCCCCAGGCTGGGGCGTGCCCCTACTCCGGGCTGGGCCTCACCAGCGTCAGAGAGTTAATAGCCCCGGCCCAGAAGCCCCATTAACCAGGGTGAGTCTGGGGCCCCTGCTGTGGGGGTGTCCCCAACAGAGCATCCAGCTCTGGGCAGAGTTGTGGGAGGGCCACGGCCCCCTTCCCTGTACCCCACACTGAGCCCCTCAGCCAGTGGTCGCTCTGCTGGGCCTTCTCATGCCCCCGCCATCAGCCCGTCCTCTCTGCACCCACCCACGAGTCCATCCCTCTCCCCACTCACCATCTACCTGCGGGACCCACCATTGTCGCCGGCTCTCCCACCCCTCCGTCCACCACTCTGTCCATCCTTCCAACAGTCACAGCAGCCCTCCCATCCTCCTCCTGCCTGTCTCTCCATCCACCCTCCGCCCTCCACCCTCTGTCCACCCGCCTGTCTGTCCACTCACTGTGGAGTCGGGCTGACGCAGCTGCCCTTGGCGTGTGTGTGGCTGGACGGGGTGGGTGTGGCCCCTGCCTCGGGCTCTGCCGGGTGGGAGAGAGCACTGCAACAGGGCATACTGGTCCAGGGAGACAGTGTCACTCTCCTGTGACTGGGCACAGATGAGATTTGGGCACAGGAGGGGCTCAAAAGGAGTCAGTGTGAGTTGGGGCAGGCCAGGTTGGCTTCCTGGAGGAGGAGGCTGGGTGCTGTACCATGGCAGGGATTGGAGAACTGATGTCAGAGTCCCTGGCACATTCCTCCAGGCGACCAGGAGGTCAGTGGGTGAGCGCATCTGCCTTCTTGGGCAGAGGAGGCACAGCTGGGGGGTGGGCTGTGGAAGGTGGACCACCAGGGCTGACATGTGAGGAGACCAGGCCATGGCAGGAATGGGGAGGCCCTGGCCCTGAAGCCCCTGGCCTCCCTGCCCTGGATTGGAGGCTGCTCCTGGGGTTGCGAATAGCGATGGAGTGGGGAGGAGGCAGGAGGCCGGGGCTTTGCTGTGTGGCAGAGCTGGGTTACCACCGTCCCTCTCCACAGGCACATCCAGGGGGCAGTACCACACCCTGCAGTCTGGCTTCAGCTCTCGCTCTCAGGGCCTGAGTGGGGACAAGACCTCGGTGAGCAATGGGCCCAGCCCGAGGGGGACGATCTGAGCTCTGCAGTTCGGAGAGGGGGAGGCACTGCGGCAGGGCTGGACACAGGTGAGCCCAGGCACGTCCTCACCGCCCCCTCTCGACCCACAGGGCTTCCGGCCCATCGCCAAGCCAGCCTACAGCCCAGCCTCCTGGTCCTCCCGCTCCGCCGTAGACCTGAGCTGCAGTCGGAGGCTGAGTTCTGCCCACAACGGGGGCAGCGCCTTTGGGGCCGCTGGGTACGGGGGTGCTCAGCCCACCCCTCTCATGCCCGCCAGGCCTGTGTCCTTCCACGAGCGCAGTGGAGTTGGCAGCCGGGCCGACTATGACACACTGTCCCTGCGCTCGCTGCGGCTGGGGTCTGGGGGCCTGGACGACCGCTACAGCGTGGTGTCTGAGCAGCTGGAGCCTGCAGCCACCTCCACCTACAGGGGCTTTGCCTACGAGCGCCAGGCCAGCTCCAGCTCGAGCCGGGCAGGGGGGCTGGACTGGCCCGAGGCCACCGAGGTTTCCCCGAGCCGGACCATCCGTGCCCCTGCCATGCGGACCCTGCAGCGATTCCAGAGCAGCCACCGGAGCCGCGGGGTAGGTGGGGCAGCGCCGGGGGCCATCCTGGAGCCTGTGGCCCGAGTGCCATCTGTGCGCAGCCTCAGCCTGGCTGACTCGGGCCACCTGCCGGACGTGCGTGGGTTCAATAGCTACTGTGGCCACCGAACCCTGCAGAGACTCAGCAGCGGGTGAGTGTCTGGGCCTGGCACAGGGAGGGGGCTTCTGCCACAGGCCCAGCCTGAACCCAAAGTTAGCCTGACCCTTGACCCCTGGCTCCGCAGTTTTGATGACATTGACCTGCCCTCAGCAGTCAAGTACCTCATGGCTTCAGACCCCAACCTGCAGGTGCTGGGAGCGGCCTACATCCAGCACAAGTGCTACAGTGATGCAGCGGCCAAGAAGCAGGTGACCACCCGACCACCCACTCACTGCCCCTGGTGACCTCCCTCAGGGCCCCACCACCTCCCACTGACCTCTGCTCACTGACCACCCCTCATGGTCCCCAAGCTGACCAGGCAGACCCCACTGTGTCCAGAGTCCCCTCAGCAGAGGACGAGCAGTAGGGTACAGTTTGGATACACGTGCATCACCTGCATACATCTGCATACACTTGTGTTACCTCCGTACGCCCGCATACACCACCTCCATACACCCGCATACACCTGCATCACCTCCATATACCCGTATACACCTTCGTCACCTCCATACACCCGCATACACCTGCGTCACCTCCATACACCCGCATACACCTGCATCACCTCCGTACACCTGTATACACCTGCATCCCCTGCATATCTACATCTACGCACCTGGACACATCTGCACACACGTGCATAGTCTGCATCCATCCACATGCATCTGTGCGCCCCCATATGCCTCTGCCCGCAGGCCCGCAGCCTTCAGGCCGTGCCTAGGCTGGTGAAGCTCTTCAACCACGCCAACCAGGAAGTGCAGCGCCACGCCACAGGTGCCATGCGCAACCTCATCTACGACAATGCCGACAACAAGCTGGCCCTGGTGGAGGAGAACGGCATCTTTGAGCTGCTGCGGACACTTCGGGAGCAGGACGATGAGCTTCGAAAAAACGTCACAGGTGCTGCCTGTCCCCTCCTCCACCTGTCCTTCCTCCACCTATCCCCCTCCACCTGTTCTCCATCTACCTGTCCTCCATCTACCCCCTCCTCCACCTGTCCTTCCTCCATCTACC